CACTTCATCTCTCAAAGCTTCGGTGTTTTCCCACTGTGAAATGTGCCCATTTTGCAGAGCCACATGGGATAGTGGTAAGGATTGATAAGGTTAATGAATGCATGGAGGTGCTTCTGGTAGGTGCTCAAGTAAATGGCTGTGTATACTTTCATCAGGTCCAGGGAGTGGATTTGGAGACGAGTCACAGGTTAGAGCCAGGAAGCTTTGATAAGCTTCCTTGATGGCCTCTTGATGTGGCTGGATTTACTGCCTGTAGCCAGCTGGCTGATTCTCCATAGAGAAGCTTTGAGAGGTGGATTCTGAAGCGTCAGGCCTAGGCCAGCACTCTGCTATCTTGGGCCTGTCTCACTCAGGGACAATGCCTGATAGGGACAAAGCTCCTTATGTAAAGGAAGGAGGCCCAAGCTTTTCCAAGGGGCTACTGTGTGCCAGGCCCCAGGTTCAGTGCTGTCACATACTCTGTAACACCAGCCTCAAAAACATACCAAGCTTTCACCGCCTCAGAGACTTCACACATGCTGTTCCCTCTGCCTGAAATGCTTACTCTCCGCCTCCCAGCCACCACTCCCTCAGCCTTCGTGTCGTAGCTCCGTGATCAGAGACTGGGCTGTTCTGACCCACTCTCAGGCCCCACTTCTGACCAAGTCCCCCCTCTGACACACACAGAGAATCCCAGTGCTATCACTTCCTGGCTGTGTGACTTGGAGTAAGTAACTCACCTCGCCTCTCGGAGTCTGAGTTCCCCACTGGAACGTGCCCGTCTTTCAGAGCATTGTGAGATGGCAGCTCTTGGTGGCACTCATCACAGTTGAGTCCGTTTTCTGTCAGTTGCTTCATTAAAATCTGTCTCTCCCACTGCAATGAGAGCTCCATGGACCCAGAGGCCATGCCTGCTTGTTCTCTTCAGCCAGTGCCCAGCACAGTGCTTGGCACATGGCAAGTGCTCTATACATTTTGTTAATAGATGTTTAAGGAATAATGACAATTACCATGTTTTGAGCACTTTGTGCCATGCTCTGTGCTAGACCACCAGTCCCCAACCTTTGTGGCACCAGGGACTGGTTTCGTGGAAGACAATTTTTCCACGGACCGAGTGGTGGGGGGGATGGTTTCCGGATGATTCAAGTGCATTGATTGATTATGGTCTCTGTGCAGTCAAACCTCTCTGCTAATGATAATGTGTATTTGCAGCCGCTCCCCAGCACTTGCATCACCGCCTTGGTTCCACCTCAGATCATCAGGCATTAGATTCTCAATAAGGAGCGCACAACCTAGATCCCTTGCATGTGCAGTTCACAGTAGGGTTCACGCTCCTATGAGAATCTAATGCCGCCGCTGATCTGACAGATCAGAGGCAGAGCTGAGGCGGTAATGTGAGCGATGGGGAGTGGCTGTAAATACAGATGAAGCTTCGCTGGCTTGCCCTCGGCTCACCTCCTGCTGTGCAGCCTGGCTCCTAACAGGCCATGGGGACTGATGGCGGGTCCGTGGCCCAGGGGTTGGGACCCCTGTGCTAGACTCTTTATAAAAGCATCTGATTTAATCTCTATAAGAACATGGGTGGGAGTGTGGGGGGCCAGGTATCATCATTATTCCATTTTTTAAAAAATTTTTTAATTATTTTTTTATACAGCAGGTTCTTATTAGTTATCTATTTTATACATATTAGTGTATACATGTCAATCCCAATCTCCCAATTCGTCACACCACCACCATCGCCCCTGCCCCTGCCCCTTCCCCCCTTGGTGTCCATATGTTTGTTCTCTACAGCTGTGTCTCAATTTCTGCCCTGCAAACCGGTTCATCTGTACCATTTTTCTAGGTTCCACATATATGCGTTAATATACGATATTTAAGCTGAGGAAGCTGAGACTTCAAGAGGTAAAGTGACTTTTACCTAAAGTCACATAGCCAAGGAGGGCTGAAGCCAAGACTCGAACCTAAGTGTACCCATCTCCAAGCCATGCTCTCAATTAGGATGCTATACTGAAGGACAGGCTCTTACGTGGAGCTGTTAGCGGCCAGGAGGAAGAGCTCTGGGGGTGGGGGACAGAAGCAGAGTGTGTTGACAAGAGCAGAGGCCCAGGGCAAGCCACGGCCAATGCCTTTAGGCTTGGCCTCACAGGATGACTGTAGTAGGGCAGCGAGCCCTGGGAAAATGCATTATGCCAAGAGGCTCCCAGAAACATCCACTTGTCTAAAATGCCTTTTCGAAAAAAGTGCTTGTTTTAGTCTACTTTTATTCATGTTATTTTTTTCTGATTACAAAATCAATGCATGTTCATTGGCAAAAAATGAGAAAATCTGAAAACCATAAAGAAGCAAATTTCCACCCAGAGATAACCACCCTCGAATTTCTATGTATTTCCTTCCTATGTCTTTCCTTTGTATCCCATGCATACGTTTCCCACATAATTAGAATCAAATCATATGTTCGGTTTTGTATCCTCAGCTGTTCATTTAATATTATATCACGGGCATTTCCCCCCCCCCCACCATTGTTAAATATTAATTGAAAACTTGATTTTTCAAAATATTGGGGTTTTTGATGATAAAACTCTGCAGTGTATATGTTTACTGTAGAAAAGTTGGAAAATACAGAAAAATCTGAAGAAAATCCCTCATAACCTCACCCACCTGAGAGATAATGACCATTAACATTTTGTTGTATGTCTCTCTAGAACTTGATTTCCTATGCACATATAGTATTATAGACAGATACATACAGACACATGCACACATATATACTTTTTAAAAGGACCAAACTGAAATCCTACTTCTCTCCTCAGGTTATGGGGAAGCAACCACTAATGCAAGACAAACTCAAATGTCCACAGATCCCAAGCAAGTAGTTGAGATGGGTGAAGGGGCCAGCTCAGGGCCATAGGGAAGGAGAGCAAACAACCTCAGCAAAAGGGCAAGCTGTAACCCATTGATGACAGGCAAGAATTCAGGTCCTGTGTCACTAGACCTGATTTTCCAAGAGAGGCTATAAATCCAGTGTAGAATGAATCTCCTGACTCTTAAGTACTGGCCACTAGTTCAAAAAATATTTTGAAAGACAAAGGGGTGATTTATTCAACAAACCACTGGAAGGGGAAAAAAGAAGAGGCAACCATAGCTTAAAAATAGGCCAATGAAAGAGTGGGCTTTATTTGGATCTTCATTCAAAGAAACTGGGAAAAAAGCATACTGTCACACACAATATGACAAGAAGTCTTTAAATTTTAGAGAGACATACTGAAATTTTTTGAGATAAAATGGCATGTCTAGGATTTGCTTCAAAATAATATAGGAGGGAGAACTGATGGGGGCGTCAGTGAAACAAGATTGGCCATGAATGGTAATTGTTGAATCTGGGTAAACAGCATTCATTATACTATTTGTATGTTTGGTTTTTTTTAATAAAAAGTTAAAAAAAAAAAAAAAACCCAAACACCAGTAGGCCAACCAGACAGGTCTGTGAGCCAGCATCAGAACTTAGATGGCCAGTTTGCAAACTGCCCTGTATGGAGCGGGGGTGGGGAGTAACATATGAGGCTCTCACCAGGGGTTAGGGCATGTTTTTTTGCAAAACCATGTCTGTTATTATGATTTAACTTTATATTTGGAAAACTAGAGAGGAAGAAATATTTTTTTCCCCATGATGTAAATTACAGAATGGTAACAAAATCTTAGCTAGAGTGGTTTGGTTTAAAAAGTCTGAGTAACACTTTTTCTTGCTTCCTTTACTTGCTTTGGTTAACAAGAAAATTTTGATCACAAAAACAACTTCAAAATACTTTCTTTCCCTGATATCTTTGTTATTCAGAGAAGCAGTCAGTCTCTGCTAGAGACCTCATTCATTTATTCATCCAGTAAACTACATAATAATGAAGGCTATCTGCCAAGCACTCTGCTAAGCCCTGAAACTTGGTGGTGAACAGACTGTCTCAGACACGGCCCTCCAGGGACTCACATTCTAGATAGGGACGGTCAACAAGTAATCTGTTGATACCAAAGTATGAAGAGCTGGATGACAAACACTATTTTTATTTGTTTTACTTAATATAGATCAAGAGCATTTTTTCATGTTACTAAAAATTATTCAAAAATATTTTCATGACTGTGACTTTTAAAAAACGCCCCCTTAGTTTCCTGTCCTATACAATGAGGCCATTTCTTGCAGAAACCTTACAGATTCAAAGGTGGGGTAGCACCCAGGGAGCACTGTGCTCCCTGCTGCAGACACGGCAGTGAGGAGGACAGACCCATGCCCCGCCTTCTTTCAGAAGCAGCATGGAACCAGACAGCCCCGGGTTCGAGTCCTGACTTTGCCACTTAATTGCTGTGCAACCTTGGTCGTGCTCCCTAGCCCCTTTGTGCCTCAGCTCCCTTCTTTACCAAATGGTGGGTGATAACAGTACACACCTCACAGGTTGTATGAGGACTGAATGAGAACCTGTGAAAAGGAGCTTAAAATAATAACCTGTCACCCAGTAAGGCCACAGACCCAAGGGTTTGCTTTTTCCCTTGGAGCTTATGTTCTCGTTGGGGAAGCAGACAATAATGATTTTTAAGTGCCCTTTAAATATGTGTATGTGTAGCTGATTCACTTTGTTATGAAGCAGAAACTAACACACCAATTAAAAGAAAAAAAATCTTCAAAAGTATGAAAACCTCTGAGGGGGGGCGGGAGGAAGGAAGAAGGGGGAAAGAAAAAAGGGAAGACGAGAAGACAGAAAAGAGGGAGAGGAAAGGATGGAGGGATGGGAGTAAGAGAAGGAGGGAGGAAAAAGGGAGGAAGGGCCTCATGTGCCCGTCCCAAAGATAAGAATAGTCAAGTGCACTCGGGATGATGCTTAATCCAATTCTGTGCACCTGAGGATCTTAAATAACCTCACGAAGGAATCAGAAAAAGAAAGGGAGGGCCCAGGTGGGGGTGGGGGCGTGGGGAGGGCAAGGCGGGGGCTCCTGGCCGGCTGCGCCCTCACTGCCCTTCTTCTGCCCTCCTCGCGCAGAGAGCGGGTTCGCCGACACGCTGACGCCCGCGCGCCTCGGCCAGGCCCGCTTCAGCGCCTGCCTGCCGCCCAGCAGCCACGACGCGGCTAACTTCGACAACAACGAGCTCGAGAACAACCAGGTGGTGGCCAAGCTGGGCCACCTGGCGCTGGGCCGCGCCCCGGGCCCGCCGCTCGCCGACCACGCGGCCGCCGCCATCCCGTGCGGGCCCCGCGAGCGCCCGCGGCCCTCGTCGTCGCCGGCGCTGCTAGAAGCCGACCTGCGCTTCCACGCGACGCGCGGGCCCGACGTGAGCCTGTCGCTCGACCGCAAGGTGGCCTGCGCGCCGCGGCCCGACGGCGGTCGCACGCTTGTCTTCTCCGAGCGCCCGCTGCGGCCCGGCGAGAGCCTCTTCGTGGAGGTGGGCCGCCCGGGGCTGGCGGCGCCCGGTGCGCTGGCCTTCGGCATCACGTCATGCGACCCGGGCGGGCTCCGGGCCGCCGAGCTGCCCACCGACCCCTACGCGCTGCTCGACCGCAAAGAGTACTGGGTGGTGGCGCGCGCCGGGCCCGTGCCGAGCGGAGGCGACGCGCTCAGCTTCACTCTGCGGCCCGGCGGCGACGTGCTCCTGGGAGTCAATGGGCGCCCGCGCGACCGCCTGCTGTGCGTCGACACCACGCAGGCGCTCTGGGCCTTCTTCGCAGTGAGCGGCGGCGGCGCCGCAGGCCAGCTGCGCCTCCTCGGTGAGTCCCCCGACCGCGCTTTTGCGGGGCTCACCCCGGGAATCCTGGCGCCACTGGATAGGTAGCCGGAGCCGCTGCTGAAGCCCAGCCGGTGGTCCCCTACACTTGAGCGCGCATCAGAACCACCTGGCCTCCACCTAGAGTTTCCCATTCAGTGGGGGAGGGTCCTGAGAAGATGCATTTCTAACCAGTGCCCCGGGGATGCCTTTGCCGCAGCTCCCTGGACCACGCTTTGTCCACACCAACCCAAGTACCCGCTGGTGTCAGAGCCTGGCAGGTAAATTGTCTGTGCAATTTTTATTTCCATTGTTATGATTTATTATAAATATTTTTACATATGTAATGTATATTAAGTGTAGGAGAAAAAGAAAATACAACTACATTTAAAAGAGGAAAATGAGAATAACACCGTCCACAGAAAGTGGAACGCAGGCTTGAACCATCCCGTTTCGAGATTGATTCTTGCCTTCATTCATGCCACCAGTGGCCAGGCCCTGAGCTCGTGGGATGGGGCACTGCAGAGGAGAGGACACAGACCACGGAGTGCCCTCACGTCCTCACAGACACCCAAATGGAGATTTGCGCGGTGTGGTGTTCGCTATAGCAGAGGGGCTTCTCTTCTCGCCAGCTTGGTGGAGCGGGGCTGGTGATCAGGGAAGGTTCCCAGAGAGCACAGCTCCATTTTCGTGTTTCAAGAAGTAAAGTCCAAACGATAACAGAAACGATGAACATTTCATATGTCACCTCATTCAGTTTTATCCTCCTGAAAATTGAAGCACAGGGAGATTAAATAACTATCCCAGTCACGTGGCTGGTCAGCCATGAAGATGCTGGGCAAATCAGAGAATCCCTGGGCCTCAGTTCCCTTCAGTGTAGAAAGGGAGTGATGACGTGCATCGTGGGGTTGTTGTGAGGATGAAATGATGAGGTGCATATAATGCTTTTAAGCGGGTGCCTGCCACATGCAGCATGCTTAATAAGTAGCAATAGTAAACGACAGTACCTGTTGCTGTTTGACTGAGGACAGAAGAGGAACAGGGTAATGGTGGTTGTAATTTGGTTGGTTTGGGTTGTTGTTGTTTTTTTTTTAAGGGACCATCAGACAATAGTCATCATTTCAGCCTGAGATGAGTTGCCCAAGTTCCCACTGGAGCTTTGCAAGAACTAAGCCTAGAGTCATTCTCTCCCCCACCCCAGCACCTCCAGAAGAGCCACGATGAGCCTTTGAGTGGTCAGGAAGAGAAGGCAGGAGAAGGTAGAAGGGAAGTGACTGCTTTTGGAGGCCAGGGACTTGCCCTCCTGATCCCCATCTGACAGCAGCCCTGGTTCTGTAATCTGTCCATCCATCCTCAAGTAGTGTAAGGGAAGGGGCATGTATCTTCACATCAGAGATAACCCATCATTATCTGAACCAACAGTGAGTTGAGAGAAGAACACCCATCCATGTTGAACACTAGTTGGGAGTCTTGTAGTTGCAAGTAACGAAACCCCACTCACAGTGCCCTAAGCAGAAAAGGAATTTGGGGGGTACACACGTGCCTCAGAAGTCTGGGAGTATATTGGATGGATTCAGGAACAGCTGTATCTAGGTGTTGAAAGGATGTCATCAGGATTCCACCTGAAAGCTGTACTTTCCTCTGTGTTGGCTTGACTCTCAGGCAGGCCCTACAGCAGCAGGCTCATCTCCCAATGGAATGGGCCCCTTCTTTCCTAGCAGTTCTAGTGAAAGTCACAGAATTTGGCCTTGCAGGCCTTGCTTGAACCACCACTGAGACCAAGGGTGGAAGTTCTTATTGGCCTGGCCTGGATCGTGTGTGTGAGGGTGAAGTAACGCCTCAAACAAAATTCCAGTGCTGTTTCTGAAATAAACAAGAATGGAGGCTAGGCGGCAAAGACCAGATGTCTATCACACTTGTACGATTCCATCAGTTCTTAGCAGAGCCCTGTGAGGTAGCTCTTGTCCTCCCATTAGATACATGAGGAAGTGAAGGTGCAAAGCAGTGGAGAGCCAGGGACTAGCAGAGCAGAGCCCACCTCCCACTGCCCCTGATGGAGTCTCTTTGGTCTCAGGCACCCTGCAGTCCAGCCCTGCAACCACATCCCCATCAGGATCCCTCAGCGGCTCCCAGGACGATAGCGATTCCGATATGGCCTTCAGCGTCAACCAGTCCTCCTCGGCATCTGAATCATCCCTGGGTAAGGAAGGGCAAACCTTCAGGGATGGGAGAGTGGAGGGTGCAGGGAGGCAGGGGCTCGCCCTGGTGGCTGTACCAGCCCTTCCTGAGGCTAAATAAGGCGACTGCCTTTCCCCCGCATCCTTTTCTTCTTCGCCTGTAGGGAGGAGAAACATCTGGATATGGCATCCCAGAGGGCCATAATGGTGCTTGATGCTTGGGGGTAGGAGCGTAGGAATGGGGGCAAAACCCAGGAGAATAACCAAAACTGGTGTCTCCCAAAGTTGTCCCCCCATGGATTCTGCCATAGAAGCCCTGCCTTCTTGGGATTGCCCCAGCAGAGCCCACCTGAGAACCACGGATTAAGGTCTGCCTGTTCTCCCTTTCTGCAGTGACGGCCCCCAGCTCCCCACTGAGCCCACCAGTGTCCCCCGTGTTCTCCCCACCGGAGCTGGCGGGCAGCAAGAACAGCGAGTGTGCCGTGTGCTTCGATGGCGAAGTGGACACAGTCATCTACACGTGTGGACACATGTGCCTGTGCCATGGCTGCGGCCTGCGGCTTAAGAGGCAGGCCCGGGCCTGCTGCCCCATCTGCCGGCGGCCCATCAAGGACGTCATTAAGATCTACAGGCCGTAGCCTGGCCCGCCGACGGCCTTGACTAGAGCAAGGTCACCTTTCTGAAGCCCACCCCCACCCCAGGCCGGGCAACCACCGTGGCCGCCGGGGAGTCCAAGGGCAGCAGCTATCTTGCCTGCCGCTCTCCAGTGGTGGGCAAGGCGTGACAGTCGTGGACACGAGGCCCCCGGGGGTCTCAGTCCAAGTGAGGGTTGCTTTTGGCTCGAAAGTGCTTTGCCCCCAAAAGGCCGTCCCAAGAGCGAGCTCAGGAACTGCCTGGCAGACTGCCCTGTCCCCCGGTGACCTCTCAGCTGAGAAATGGCGTCCTCTGTGCAATGCCTTTTGCTGAGCTTGGGTTGAGTGTGTGTGAGAGAGGGGGAGGGGAGGGAGGGAGACAGTCCAGAGAGGGCGAGTGTGTGAGAATGACCTAGAGAGAACGTGTAGGTATTTATCGAGGGATCCTGGCTCTAGGAGGTTATTTAACACTAAGGAATGTGCAATCCAGAGCCCAGACGGTAGTGTGACTAGAAGTTGTTCACTTTACAGGGCTGTGACGTCAGCTGGTTTTGAATGTACAAAGCCTGCACCTAAACAGAACTCCCTCAGGTGGTATAGAAAAGGGACACTCAGATTTTCTAAGGCGAGGAAAAAATAGCTCATTGTTTACAGCTCCGAATCGCGGCAACTCCTTGGGGAGCAGTTGGGCGGAGAACATAAGAGAACAATTTGCCTTTTCAGTTTCTAACTCAGTCTTGGAGAGGAGTTTTGACTGGGTGCTGGGGCCAGAGCTCTGGGCAGTGTCTTCTCCAGAAGCCTTGTCACCCCTTCAGCCCCAGACAGCCTAATTACAAGCACACCACCCCTTGACTCTATCCCTATATGCTTTTAGTCTGTAGCATCCTCACCGTCTCCAAGGAGAAGACAAGCAACAGCTTCCCTTTTCCTGTGGGAGGGAAAGAATCCTAGATGCCGGTGAGCCACCTGGGGTTGGAAAGGGTCACTCCGAAGCTCTCCACATTTACTGCTGAAATACAGGGCCTGGCATTTGCCAGCGGCTGTGGGCATCACCAGGATGACCTGCTGGCCAAGTAGGGGAAGGAAGCAGGGCTTTGCAACCGGTCTTTGTTCTGATTCTCAGCTTATCTCCCCCCTGGTGATTACTAAAATGTTAACTGATCATTAGGATGTTAACTAGGAACTGAGACACTCGCTGAAAATGCTGACACTGGGACTATCCCCCTCCCCAGGGTTATTTGCTGGGCATTTCCTGGGACCCTGGCCCTGCCCCAACCCCCTCCCCCTCCCCCCTCCCCCCACTGCCGCCCTAGTCTATATCACCAGTTTCCCTGCCTGGACTGGGCATCCTAAACCACACCTGAGCTGATGGGCTGGCAGGCCTGCAATTCCCTTCTGGGCCCCACCTCTGCCCTGTCTTGTGCTGTACCTTTAGGGAGGTCCCTGGGCCTCTCTGTTTCTCAGTTCCCGATCTGTCCAAGAGGAAGCCTGGTACCTGCCCGCTCCAGAGCTCTTGGCAGGACTGGCACACTTTAAAAGGCCCAAGACACCTTGCAAAGAGCAGGTATTGTTTTTAGTCCAACTCCTAATCTGTTCCTCTGTTGAGGGAAGCAGGGAAGGGAGGACATTCAGAGTTTTTGCCTTCATGTAACAAGTGTTGGTTGCGTGTCTGGGGTCCCCCTCGTCAGATCAAGGCCCATAAGGCCAGTCAGTCCTTGCTCCTGTGATGCTCCAGGTCTTGGACCATCTGCTTCTCCTCTGCCTGGTATTCCGACCTGATCTCAACTTCAGAAACCCTACTCTTGCCCCTTCAAGGATCCCTGATTAGTTCTTTTTCCCTTATGAACTTGGGAAACATGCCCAGGTTTTAATTTTGCAGCAGAATCTTCAGGGGAGTGACTGGCATCCCAGCATTTGCCAAGATAAGAGTTTGCAAACCTAGGCGGCGCTCGGCACCCAGCTGAATTTGGTCCGCTGGAGCCTTCCATGTCCCCACGTGCTGGGTGTGGGCAAGGCCACGCACGGGCCCCATGTGAGAGGGCTAGTCACCCACAGGACCGTGGTTCTCCAGGCAGCAGCTCCACTGACTGGATTGAGCCATAGTCACAAGCCCCGGTGGTCTCGGCGGCCTGGGGGAGCCAGTTCCTCTCTCTTGTCCCCTCAGGTTCCAGCCAGGGTCAGTGCAACCACTGCCAGGAATCCAGGGATCGAGGGCCTGGACCCAGGGTGGACCAGGCCATGTGCCTGGTGACCTATTACCTGGGAAGAAAGGAGCTGGTGGCCTGTTTAACATGCTCCGCAGCTGCTATAAATAGCCTCCCTGTTTCCAAGATGAGTTAGGGGTGTGTTTATCTTCTAAAAACCAGACATTTCCTGATGCTCTAAACTGATTTCTTCAGCGCTGCAGAGGAGCTGCCCACACCGCCTTCTAGGTTCTGTCTGGAGAGGGGGCAGGAGGAAGAGGGAAGGGAACCACTCTCCTTTATTTGGCATCACTGTGTGCCCGGCACTGGGCTAGAGAGGTGCATCCCCATGTCAATCCTGTGAGGTAGGTCTTAGTACCATATTGAGTCGTATCAAAGACACCACTGATGACAAAACACACCATTCTATGTACCACTAAGGGAAAAACACTGCCAATTTCAACTGTAAGGTGCCACAGCTATTCGATTCATTTTACTCCGACACAAGTGGAGAAGCTGTGCTCCTAGAATCAGTGAAATACGATATTATCCCCAGTTGGCAGGTAAGAGAGCTAAGGTGCTGGAAGTGAAGCAGGAGGTGACAGGACTGGGCTTCAAACCCAGGAGCGCGTGATGCCAAAACCCACGCTCTCCGCTGCCTGGCCCCGAGCCCGGAAAGCTCGAGACTGCTTGAGTTTTCTTCCTTGAAGCTCACCTGGGCAGCGCCTGGGGAGAGCTGGGCACCCACCCCTGTGTGAGGGTTCCAGCCCCAGACTGCGGCCCCTGTGCCGCCCGGAACCCTGGGAGCACAAGTGTCCTTCCTTTCAGGCTTATCTGCCTACTGCCCACCTTCTCCCGGCAGAGCTGAGCCACGTGTGAGCTTGGGTCCAACCCAAGGGCCTCCTCCTGTTACATGGGGGTGCCCATCAGGGGCAACTTTGGGGACACACTTGTCCCACCACCTTCCTGGGCCTCATGACCACCAACCCCTAAGTATGGCCCCTAGCGTGAGGACAGGAAGACCAGAGGATGCCCCCTTTGTTGTGGTCTGGTGCCTGTTCATTCTGAACCACCAGAGAAATTGAGCTGTTTCCAAGTCAAGACAAACTCCTTTTTCTAGCCCATTCTCAGAACTGGGAGTCTTCTGGGATTTAGCTACCCAGGGCAGCTGCTCCCCTAAGTACAGCAATGCTTTTTCAGTCATCCGACAACCACTGGTCAGCCTGGCCTGTGTTTTGGACAAAGGGATGGGAACCGGGTCTCAAGACAAGGCCTGCAGGGAGCTCGCAGTCCAGAGCAGGAGGTGGGCAGATTTGTGAACTTGTATTTGACCCATCTAGTGCTGGGTCCTGTGGTAGCACTTAGTAGGTACTCATTAAAGGTTTACTGAGTAAATCAGAAATCAGGTTATGAGTCTCCAGGGGTTTGGTAAAACACCATGTATACATGCACACAAAGTCATTCAACAGACATTTGCTGAGTGCCCACCAGGTGTGGGGTGCTGGGAGGATGGAGCTGAGAGGACAGGACCCCAGCTCTGATGTCAGAGGGAGTGACATTATGAGACATTTGGGGCAGAGTCCATGGGTTTTCCTGGCCATTCTGTTGCATCGGGGGTCTATCTTAGTGAGTACACAACTGCTTTCCAGACCCAGAGCCCCCTGCACACTTCAGAAAGCCTTCTCTGAATTAGGAATGC